CTTGTTCCTTGAAAAATGTTTGTGTGTTCCTTCAGAAAATCCTATATTTTCTTACTAAAATGGAATGTAGTCTTAGGCCTTAAGACCTATATATATATATATATATATATATATATATATATATATATATATATATATATATATATATATATATGTTTCTTATGTCTAAAGAATAAAATGTGACACTTTGATTTTATATAAGTAATATGACCCATATTGGTCCCTACTATGGTTCCTCAGTGTGTACTAGTTATATATAAACAAATATCAAACAGACAGTTGATTGTGTGATTCTTCCCTAGGCCTACAATCAAACAAGAAACAGGAAGTAAGGCGGAAATCACGTATTCCACTGCCTATAGGATATTATTTATATATAACTCTGATGTATAAACTAAGTATTCATCGTATCAAAAATAATGGTCCTAACCAAAGAGTAAGTAATCGTATTTGTTTCCAAAAATTTGAAATGTAAACTGCTTGCTTGTAAAATAATGATGTTTATCCTGGAAAATCCTATATTTTCCATAAAACCGAATTGTAGACTTAAACGTTCCAAGACCTTAAAGTACAAGTATAATTTCCATACTTAATTTAATGATATGTAGTTTTACTCAGAAGTAAAACTAGCTGAAGATGTGTTTGCATTGTATCTAGATGTGATGTTAATACCCTCCTATGATCACTTTGTACATACAAGTTATATAAAATTGAGATCGAACAGGGAGTCGAAAAGGGTGATTCTGCCCTAAGCCCACAACCAAAAAACGAACATTCAATAAGGCGGAAATCACACATATCAATGTCTATCGTACATTACTTTTAAATAACCCTAATGTATATACTAAGTAATCACAGAGTGAATACCCCTTTAAGACTGTTCGAAAATATATCATTACGTAAATATTTAGTTAATGATTATTGTGAGTGTTTATTATAACCATGCTAGTATGACTAATGGCTTGTTCTTCAGGCATTGGAAAGTTATGGCATTTGTCACCCTAGACTTGCTGGTCTAATTGTAGCGAACAAATTAGATGCGGGGTTGTCAATCTCATATAGATCTATACACAAACTTACGCTCTCCCTCTAGGAGACTATGGTTATAATTTAGGATTTTAACGGGTACCATTTTTGGTAAAACGAAGTAGTTGCTCACAATCATGTATTACCTAGTTTACAGAAACTGTGCTGAAGTTATACTTTTCTTGTTATTGTATGTATTATCCTTTTATAGTATTTACATTCTATAAAATAATCATATTTTTATATAATTATTCCTTTGACCCAAAAAAGTAAAATAACGTGAATGTTCCCCAAACTATACCTATTATAGTTTAAAAGTGTATGTTTCGATGAAATGGTAAAACTTTAGTATTTTTAACAACTTTATAAGTAAGATTTTATATGTTTGGTAGCAACGAGTCTAGTATTTTTGCGTAAAATATATACATAAAGTACGTGAAAATATAATAAACAATTTATATTTTTCAACACAATATTTCTTGTGTTTTACTTGTATTCCCCCCCCCCCCCCCTAAAACATAGAAAATCTTGGAAAAAATGTGGGGGGTATGAACTCACCTTGAGTGGTTGATGTATGTAGTTGAAGTGATGAGATGAAGGTTTTGAGCTTAAAACACTTGGAGTGTTTGATGAACTCTTGAAGATTACGATACCCTAAGGTTGTCAACACATAATATTTTGTGTAAATAGGATAAATCAACAAAATAATGTGTAGAATCACTAGCCAAACTCGAAATACTTACAAGGATCTAGGGATGATACTTGGAGAATGTTGAGCTTGAACGATTTTAGGTTTGTTCTTGAGAAGGTCTGGAATTGTTTGCTAAGTGAAGTGAGGGAGGGATTTTTGAGAGAGTATGAATTAATCAGAAACAAGATGAAAGAGTGGTGAGGTTTAGTGAGGATAACCTTATTCAAATAAGAGGAGTAAGGTGGATGTGAAGTTTACTTTGAGGATTGTTGGTTTCTTTTTGGATATACGTCGGATATTATGTAGAAAATTATGAATTGCATGGGAAATAGAAATAGGTATCACATCTCAAGGTCAACCTTATCTACTGGAAGCGTTCTTGGGGAATTCACTTTAGTTTGCAGCCATAAAGAAGGTGTTTGCTACCCAACATGACTTAAATCATCCTAAATCACTCACAAAAGACTGATTTCGGTCCTAATGGACCTTAAAGAAGGGATTTTGGTCCCAAAAGGTTGGGTTTTGGGCTCTAATTAGCTTTAGGTCATGTGTTTTTGGTCTTGGCTAATTCCTTGAAGGTGATTTCGGTTCTAGATTCTTAAAAGTATTTGATTTCAGTCCTATAGTGTTCCTAAGAAGTTGATTTTGGTTCTATAGAGTTCCAACATTCTAAAAATCGAAAAATTTAAGTAATATACGATAACATGCATATAGATTTATTACTTGGACTTGTGTTGACTACTTTGAGTCCTTGATGGCTTGTTGACTTCATTTTCCTTACAAAGGTTCATTACAACTTGGCTATCACAAGTTTATATACATATGAACTTGTATAAGCATGCTCTCTTGGTTTTCAAAGTTCTATTGCATCAAGTTATGTTGTGAATTCACTTATTCTTGGTTAGGGTTTAGGCCTTGTTGGTTGTAAAATCTCCCAATTGTGACAATTTTAGATAGAGACATAAAAGAAGTGGGGTAGATATTCGACAATGGCGTTAGGGTTTCTGGTGTAGTGGCTAGGATTTGAGATTTTACAACTGGTAACATTGGAGATGACACATGTTGTTTGGGAATAAGAGGTGTGTGGGTATTTAACGATGGTGGTAATTGTGTCCAAGGAAGAAGGAAGAGGCGATGATGATTATTGTGGGGAGCGGTGGAGTTTTCTGTGGTCAAGATATTTCTTAAATAGAGAAGATGTTGGTAGGATGTGATATCGGTAGTAGTGGTTGTAAATGGTAGTGGAGAATGAGATGGAGGTAGCGATGAATCTTGATTTGTGGTGTGAGTTGTTTGTTGTAAGCGATAACATGGTGGTGGTGGAAATGATAAGGTTTTTAAGGCGGCTAATGTAGAATTTGATTAGGGTTGCTCTTGGAGAGAGTGATGAATGGTGGTGACTCATGATCGAAGAAGTGGAGATGTTATACAAAGTGTAGTTGGTGTTGACTGATTCATTTGACTGCAATTGAGGAATACTAATTCAAAGGTGTCACGTGACTATTTTAATTGTTTGACCGGATAAGATTTAGTATTTTGTTTAATTTATAAAGTAATTGTAGATATTCAATTTTTAGTGTTTAACTATATATATATATATATATATATATATATATATATATATATATATATATATATATATATATATATAGGGGATAGTTCAAATAAAAACAGTAAATAGTATGAGAACGTAAAAACACTACTTTTATGTTATTATTCTACAATAAATTTTGTATCCACAACTTTATATCATTATTCAGCAATGAATAAATGAATTGTCGCAGGTTAAAACTAAAATTAGAATTTTACAACAAAAATGTATATACATAAATTTATAATAGAATAATAACATTCTAATGAATATATGAATAATCAAACGTTAATATTCATATTAAAATTACTTCAATAATAAACATATATAACATTCATTACAGAATAATAACATAAACATAATGTTTTTACATTCTCACACTATTTACTGTTTTTATTTAAACTTACTTCTATAATAGAATTTGCTAGGAAAATGCACATAAATTAATTTATAATAGAATAATAACATTCTAATGAATATATGAATAATCAAATGTTAATATTCATATTAGAATTACTTCAATAATAAATATATACAATATTTATTATATAATAATAACATAAATATAGTATTTTTATACTTTTTAGTTCTCACACTATTTACTGTTTTTATTTGAATTTATATATATATATATATATATATATATATATATATATATATATATATATATATATATATATATATATATATATATATATATATATATATATATATATAGGTTCAATGGAAAATGAACAATTAGGGCAAGATATGTTGGAACCAATGATCAAGTGACACGTGTCCAATTCTTTATTCATAAGCAATCTACTATGGAAGTTATTTATATAGTTATTCCAAAATGATGTGTTGGCATGCTTTTATTGGTTCCAACATGTGTTGCCCTAATTGTTTATTTTCCATATAACCCTTTCCTATATATATATATATATATATATATATATATATATATATATATATATATATATATATATATATATATATATATATATATATATATATATATATATATATATATATATTAAATGAACCTAAACGATATTATAATCGACAAGTGATAAGTTGAAACGAGAAACACGGCACTATGTAAATCTGAAAAAGTACATAAAACAAAACCCAAAAGCTTTTAATATTAAGAATTTTGTTGCAAGTTTCACTTGATGGAAATGAAGAAATTGGTAAAACAAGATAAAGAAAAAAAAATTAAGAAGTTGTATAAAAATAACATAATAAAAACGGAAAGATTTACGATTAATTTCCCATTAAATATGCTACCGAAATTTCCTTCCAATGACGAAAAATAAAAAACCTGAATAAAGGTCAGGAATGTTTAATTGTGATATAAACAACACTTTTTAGGGAATTTGACTTACTAAGGTAATTAAGTATTTCAAATGTTCACATATGGGTAATATTGTTTTTTTTGTACTCATTTATCCAACAAACTTGTTTCAGCCGTTCAATAATAACCAACATTACCGGCTATTACCTGTTTTAGCCGGTAACATTGATTTAGCTCGGTTTAAAACATTACGTGGAATCTTACGTGGCCATTACACCCCTTTCTCATTTAATTAGGGTTCGTCATCGTCAGCTAACACACCTCGATTACCTTCTTCTGTGAGAAATCAATCGATACATCAAATCGACGATTAGGTCTTGGAATTGAAGTTGGAATTGAAGTCGACTACTAGCATGGCATCCTCATCTACAGGTATGTATGTATCTGTAGATTTTCATTACAATGGATTCTTTTCGCCAAACCCATTGGTGTACTTAGACCCCGTAAAAACAAATGTACGTGATGTGGATTTTGGGGGATTTACGTATAAAGAGTTTCTTTTGTGGCTTACGAAATTAACAAATGGAGAATGTGATAATGTCTACTACTATATGAGAAAGGAAAGCTTGTGTGAGGGTATTAGAAGAATCGACAGTGATGCTGATTATTGGGAGTTTGTGGAGACTGTTTATAGTCTGGAGAGTGATAGTCTTGAGAGTGAGTTAGATGTGTACATTGACCACCGAAATGAACCAATTCTTGATTGGGCTGATAACGAGTTCTTAGAAGATGGTAAAGGGTATGAGTTGGATGAGTTGGATGAAGAGGATGACAAGGATTCTGAAGTTTCAATGAAAATGGAATATGAACATGAATGGGATGATGAAGATGAACATACTTTTGATAAAACTGTTAGAGACCCATTCTTGGACAAACTTTCAGGGCATATTAGTGATGATGATGAAGAGGAAGTAAACAATGGGAAACTTAAGGATGTTGTGTTCCCTGTCCATAATGAGAATCAAGAATGGGAGCAAATGGTGCCAGTTTTGGGTATGAAGTTTTCTAATCCATTGGAATTGAAGTTGTGTATCACCAACTATGCAGTCAAAAATGGATATGATTTATGGTATGAGAAAAGTGATCATGAAAGGTTATTGGTAAAATGTTGTAAAGGTAAGACAAATAAACAGGGTAAAGGTTGTCCTTTTAGATTATGGGCAACCTGGATGAGCAGTGAAAAATCATTCCAGATTAAATCTCTGAATGATATGCATAATTGTGCAAGAGTGTTCAAATTTGGGTCCATTGTTACCTATAAATGGATAGCAAAGAATTTCATGAATCATATACTTCAGAAATTAAAGATGAGTATAAGGAAGTTGAAAGCTAAGGTCAGCAAGAAATTTAATTTGATTGCAAGTGTTGGTCAATGCAGAAATGCAAGGAAGTATGCATTTCAGGAGATAGAGGGTACTTTGAAAGAGCATTATGCAAAAACATGGAGCTATGGAGAAGAGATAAGAAGGACTAACCCTGGATCAACAGTGAAGATGGATGTAGATGTCATGCCTGATGGAACCACATATTTCTCAAAGTTTTATGTATGTTTCAAGGGATTGAAGGATGGATGGATTGAAGGTTGTAGGAGGGTAATTGGACTAGATGGTTGCTTCCTAAAGGGCATATGCAGAGGTCAGTTGCTCTCTGCTATAGGTAGAGATGCAAATAACCATATATATCCCATTGCTTGGGCTGTTGTATCAGTGGAAAGTAAAGAAACATGGAAGTGGTTTATTAACCTTCTAATTGAGGACCTTGGAATGGGAGTTGGGCATGGACTAACCTTGATATCAGACCAACACAAAGTAATCAATTTTTATTATTTTCATCTTTATTTTAGCTTATGTTATGTTTTTGTTGTTTAAATTTTGTGTCTATTGCTAACAGGGATTACTTGAGGCTATGAAGGAAAGGGTCCCAGCAGCAGAGCATAGGCAATGTGCTAGGCACATATTGTTGGATAAGGTGTCTAAGTCCATAACTATTTTTGGTATGTACTTGACCTGACCCGGCATGGTCCATTTGGGTTGCATGGCACCATGCAATTGGATAGACTAAATGAGAGAAATAACACTTGGAGATTATTAATATATTATAAGTTCTAATATATTAATAATATTATTTGATTAGTTTGATCAAGAATTAATTTAGAATTAATTAAGTGATCAAAAGATAACTAATTAAATATATGGGTTGATTATTTAAATCATCCATATCTTGTATAGTGGGCTAAAAGGCTCCATGGACTATCAAGTTGGGTTCCACCCATAGGATGCTCCATGGATGCTCCATGGGAGTTACAAACCCATGGGTCATGGAAATGAAGAGTCATGACACATTAGGGTTTAACCCTAGATGTGTCAACACTATATAAGTAACATTTTCTCCACCCAAAATCGGCTACACTAAGAATCAAGAGGGCTTGGCCGATTTTGAAGAAGTGAGTATTCTCTCATAAGTTCTTCCAAGAGCATTTGGTGTTGTGTGAAGCATTTGAGGCATCACACTTGGGGTGCTAGGCTCACAAGGTTTCAAGGAACACAAACAACAACAAGGTAAGTTATTCTATCTATACTTTATGTTAAAATTGTTCCCCATGTATGCTAGATAGGAATATAACCTTGGAATTCAACTTTGCATGACAATTAGACAAACATAGATCCAAGGTTATTAGGGTTGCATGTACACTTAGGAAGTGTTAGAATGCTTAAAACCCATCACATATGTGCTAACTTCCTGAAAAGGTTTAAGGGCCAAGTGTTTAGGAAGCTTTTCTGGTATGCTGCTGCAGCTACTACCCCTGCAAAATTTGAACAACACATGAATGAAATCAAGAAATTAGAGCCACTAGATTATGACCATTTGATGGAAAGGGACCCTAAAACTTGGAGTAAAGCATTTTTTCAGACTGATAGGGCTTGTGATGCATATGAAAATGGTATCTCTGAGAGTTTCAACTCTGTGATTGAAGTTGCTAGGAAGAGACCACTAATCACCATGTTAGAAGAAATTCGAATTTATGTGATGGAGAGGCTTTATAGACAGAAGATTAAGGGGAAATCTTGGGATTTAACCATATGTCCTACCATTAGGCTGAAGTTGTCCAAGCTTAAGGATCTTCAAAGGTAAGTGCTTAAAACTGTTTGTCCTTATATATGTTTGTCTTTAAACATGTTTGTCCTTATATATGTTTGTCTTTAAACATGTGTATATGGACAGGTTTTGGAAAGTAATACCATCTGGTTATCAACAGTATGAAGTCAGACTTGGGTATGATGCATATGTTGTGGATATTGGTAGTAGGACATGTGCCTGCAGAACTTGGCAGTTAACAGGTTACCCTTGTGTGCATGGGTATGCTTGCATTGCAAGCCTCAACAGGGATGTACAGGAGTATGTGTCACCATGGTTTACCACATCAATGTACCTAAACTGTTACAGGAATACCATTAACCCACTAAATGGTAGTGACATGTGGCCTCATGTAGACTACATCAGCCCATTGCCCCCCAAAAGGATAAGGCTACCAGGAAGACCATCAACAAAAAGGAAAAGGGATCAGATTGAGAGGGAAAACCAAGGAAAAAAGCATTCAATCACAAAAAGAGGTAGTGTGATGAAATGCAGCATATGTAGGGAAAGTGGGCATAATAGAACAACCTGTCCTCAAAAACCAATTGGGGAATCATCAAATGCAAGTTCAAAGAAAAAGAAATCCAAGAAAGCTGGTATGTTTGATATATTTATTTGTATATAACTTGTATAACTTAACATATTGAGCGTAACTTAACTTTTCAAGTAATACAAAACAGATAAAGTGAAGGTTGTATTGGCACATGAAGTTGATATTGACAGTGACAGTGAAGTTGAAATAGAACCTGAAAGTGATGTTGACTCTTTTGATCTTGAATTTGAAGATGATGTGCAACCTGAAGTTGAAGATGGAGTAGAACCTGAAGTCCAAGATGGAGTGCAACATGAAGTTCAAGATGAAGTGCAAGCTAAAGTTGAACCTGAAAATCATCCTGAAGTTCATGATGCTAACCAAGTTGAAGTTCACCTCGCAGTTCAAGCTGAAGTTGAACCTGAAGTGCAAGTTCAAGTTGAAGATGCTAACCAAATTGTAGTTCAAGATCAAGTGGAAATACCAGCTTTTCAAGTTGTAGTGGGAAAGAGGGCAAGGAAACCTTCAGAAAGAATTACAAAACTGAAGATAAGAAAGATGTGGGAGGGAAAACAGGGCAGTAGTGATGACAATCCGTATGAGTTGGATTAACTTTTGGCTTATTGTACTGTTGTTAATGTTTTTGGCATCTTTGACTGACATCTTTTAACTTTGGAATCTTTTGGCACATCTTTTGAAAACTAGTTGGAATAGCTTAACTTTTTGCACATCTTTTGGGTGTAATGAATGTTTAACTATGTTATGTAAAACTTTTGACACATCTTTTGAAGTCAATGTTCCCTGGAATGTCTATAATATATTACCATCTTTTGCACATCTTTCTAATACCATTAGTATTATTTATAATTTATTACCAACTTTTAGAATATCAACTGTAATCACAATTCCTTTACAGTGTAATCATAATTCCATTACATTGTTTGAACAATTCAATTCCAATGATTCACAATAACATTACAAGTTTTGTACACTACCATTCCAATGTTTCAATTACCATCTTTTGCACATCTTTCTAATACCATTTGTATTATTTATAATTTATTACCATCTTTTAGAATATCAACTGTAATCACAGTTCCTTTACAATGTAATCACAATTCCATTACATTGTTTGAACAATTCAATTCCAGTGATTAACAATAACATTACAAGTTTTGTACACTACCATTCCAATGATTCAATTCCAATGATTCAATTACAATGATTCAATTCCATAACAATGTTTATTACTATCTTTTATACTACCAAGTTTAATACCCATTCCATTACAATGTACTATTCCATTCCAATGATAGAATATAACCTTTTTCATTGAAAACATCACAAAAGCATACATAATTTAGTCATACTACATCATAATACATAATTTAAAAAACATTTTGACATACAAGAGAAACAAGAAAATTAATGCAAGTCTATGGGTAAACAATTTCCAGTTGACTTTGTCAAGTTCTTGTTTATTCCTGTTCTTCTCTTCTTCAATCTTCATCCTACATATGCTGATTTCATTCTCCAAGGTACAAATTTTCAAGGTAAGATTGCAGCTTTCTTCTGCTTTCATCCTGTAATGCCCTCTTCCATCTTTCCTCCCTTCATCCTCATCCAACCATTGCCAAAATTTACAGCTTGGACTTTTTCCATTCTTCAAGAAATTTATAAGAACATGTTAAATTGAAGGATGAAGAAGAAGTAAAAAATATGAATTACCAGTGAGTTTTGACAAACTCTGAATTTCCTTCCAGGATTGTCTGGGGTTCTTGATGTCTTCACACGAGATGGCAAATCGCAATCACATGGATGATCCGGTTGTAATTCATCTTGTCGTTTGGAAGAAAAGGATGAGGAAGAAGATGCCATCGATCGATCTAGGGTTTTAATTAATAAGCTGTCGTATCTCACCCTCTTATAATGTAAGCACTTCTCAATGCCACGTAGGTGATGAGTATTGTAGCGTACAAGCCACGTAGATGCCACATCACCCAAAACTTACAATAACCGGTAATGTTGGTTATTATTGAACGGCTGAAACAAGTTTGTTGAGTAAATGAGTACAAAAAAAACAATATTACCCATATGTGAACATTTGAAATACTTAATTACCTTACTAAGTCAAATCCCTCACTTTTTAAGGATGACAGAAAGCAAATGATGTTAACTAAACAAACAAAAAAAATATATCATAAAATTTTGACTTTAGTCAACCAACTCCACCTAACAATAATCCAACGGCTAAGATTTAATCTGATCGATTCCACCCACCTTTCACCATCCCCACAATGGCATATAAACATCCTCTCCGGGAGCTACAGAGCAGCTCCTCCGATCCACCGCCGGAACTTAGTTTCTACATTTGAATCATATATCTTCTTGGAATCACTCTTTTTAATTTGCTATGAAATCCCAATCTCAAAGAATCGGAGCCCTAATTAGTCTCTAGTTCGTCTCTTTGTCTTTGATTTCATTAACCACCGTCCGCCGCCGTGTGTTGCTGCTAGTTTTCGATTTCTCTCTGTTCATGAGTTGGTGGAAAGAAATTAAGAAAGTAATGATTGAACCTCTCTTGAGTATTCCATTGTAAAACGATATCCACATACCATACCTACCCTATCCTTCTGACAAGTCAACAACAATATTCGTAAATTTTTATCTATCTGATTCCCCTATTCAATTACATATCAATCCACCATCAATTCGTTAGCCCAGACAAAATCCGGCATGGATTCACCTTCCCCACCAACGACAGAACCAAAGACGAAGTCTTTGGATATGCCGCTACATGCAATCGGCTTTGAGATCGATGAGTTATCGGCACAAAAAGTCACCGGTCGTCTTCAGGTCACCGAGAAGTCATGTCAGGTGATATTAAATTTTCGATTTTACACCGCTTTCACCCAAAATTGAAACTGATATCTGAATCAAAATGAACAGCCGTTCAAGGTGTTACACGGCGGAGTATCGGCGTTAATAGCAGAGGCGCTCGCGAGTATGGGTGCACACATGGCGTCGGGATGGAAGAGAGTCGCCGGAGTACAGCTCAGCATCAACCACCTCAAACGAGCTGACATCGGCGATCTCGTGTTTGCTGAAGCCACACCTCTTCACGTCGGGAACACGATTCAGGTCCCTGATCTTTCCATTTCTTGATAATTCTTGGCAATTTCTTGATAATGTGAAGCCTAAAAAGCAAATTATATGCGAAAATGATGAGAATTTGAACAGGTATGGGAGGTGAGGCTATGGAAGATTGATCCTAATAACTCAGAAAGTAGATTGCTTATATCGTCATCAAGAGTTACTCTTCTCACAAACTTGCCTGTGCCTGATAATGCCAAGAATGCTGCTCAAAATTTAAAGAAGTATGCAAAGTTATGAATATGAACCCTAAATTTATTCCATCATACAATAAATTACATTTTGTAGAAATGTGATAGTGTTTGTTAAAATAATAAATCCAATTTTATGTTTGTTACACATGCAACCAAGAAATGTTAAATTGTCTCATTGAGATCAATTTTAGTATTGGTTTTGGTACACCTGATCTTACAGTCACAATATAACGATGTAATGCATCTCAAATACACTACAATCATTTAACAGGACATGTTATGTCATTAGTAAAGTTATTTGTCATGATAAGCAATTTTAAAAACATAATCTTCTATGACAAGTTTACAAAGTATGCCTATTTTTTTATAGCATAAAGTTATATGGTGTAACTACTTTTTGTGGCAAACTTTCTAAAACATGTGCACTCAGCATGTTCATTCAATAAATTTTTAGCATCATGAAAAAAGGTAATATGTTTGACAATACATTAATATTTTAAAAAGTTGTCATCAGAGAAATGGGCCACGTTTTAATATTCACTTTGAACTGTTGTAGTCACATGTTAAAAATCCTACATAAAATATATACATATTTTGAAAGTTTGTCGCCCAAAATGTGAGTCAAATGTTAAAAAAATTCATCATCAAATAAATATATTTCACTTGCTAAGAAATTTTTCTCTAAGGGGTTTCCAGATGAAATAAATATAAGCCACTTGCTAAGAAATTTTTCTCTAAGGGTTTATGTTCTCTCAAAGTCAAAAGTTTAAGTTGAAATAAATATAAGCCACTTGCTAAGAAATTTTTCTCTAAGGGTTTATGTTCTCTCAAAGTCAAAAGTTTAAGTTTCATCTGGGTATAAAATGAAATTATAAATAGTTTAGGAGTGGATTAAATTTGTTGCTTCACATATAAAAAAAAACGTAATATAAAATTTATCGTGATCGAAATCATCCAAATGTTAAAATTTGTAGATACTTGAATTAATAACACGTTAAAACTTTGAATCGAAAAATAAGTAATGTTAAAGAGTTTATCATATGTTAAGATATTTACCATAAAAAAAGTAAGAGATATTTCTAGAAAAGTCCTAATGTTTTGGATAAATTTTTAACAAAGTCATAAATTTTATTTTTTGAATAAAAAAGTTTTGACTTTTTTTACATTTTGAATAGAAAATCCCAAGAAACTGGTTAATTTATTCACTTTAGCCTTTTTTGACCTGTTCAGTAGGTAATGTGACCAAATTGTTAATTTTTCGAAAATAATAGGATTTTTTTGCAAATTTCGTCAAAATTTAGTGTAATATATAAACATATTTTTTACATATCTATATCTATTTTTATGTATTTTAGTATTTTTTATGTTTTTATATGTATATAGTTATGTATTTTTATGTATTTTAAGTGTATAAACGTATATTTTTACTTATTTATATTTATTTTTAACCATTTTACATATATATTTTTTTATATATTTTTATGTGTTATGTTTTATGTATTATGTATTTATATGTATTTTTATATATTTTTACATATTTATGTATTTTTAAGCTTTTTTATATAGATGTTTATGCATATTAAGTGTGTAAACTAATTTTTACGTATTTATATCTATTTTTAAGTATTTACATATTTTTTTGTATTACGTATTTATGTATTTTTTTAAAAGTTTTTTATATAGATGTTTTGTATAATTATTTATTTTAAGTGTATAAACGTATTTTTTTTACGTATTTATATGTATTTTTTTAGTTTTCTTATATAAATGTTTATGTATTTTTTATGTATATTAAATGTTTAATTGCATTATTTTTACGTAAAATTTATATAAACGCATAAAAATAATACAATTAAACATTTAATATATATAAAACTACATAACCATCCATATAAGAAAACTAAAAATATATATAAATACGCAAAGAAAAAACATAATATATGGTCCCTGTGGTTTCCTAACATCTGAAGTTTAGTCCTCGTGGTTTAAAAACATCACAGATGGTTCCTATGATTTCAAAACTTTTGAGGATTGGTCCTTATTGCTAACTCCGTTAAGTTTTGTCCGTTAACTGAAGGACATTTTCATCATTTCACGACCAAAGGACCATTTATGATGTTTTCATTTATTTAAAAAAAAAAATACAAAAGGGTCTCTCTCTCTCCCCTCCCCCCTCTCTCTCTCTACCTATCTATCTATCTCTTTCTCGAATCAGACCATCCTATCACCGAAGTCCATCTCTTTCCTCCGCTTCCTCATCATCGTTTCGATCAATGTCATTCTTCCTCGACGATTCTTCCCCGGAATTCCAAAAAGGATTCATCACAGAGTCTTCTCCCGTTGAAAAGACATTAGATCGATGCTCAAGAAACACAACACCAACGAGAGCTTCCACAAAGATCCTTTTTTTTTGTATCTTTTGTGGAGTTCTTAAAGGATGAAGAACTGATGAAGGGGTAAAAATCGATTTTCAGTTCAGAAACAAACACATAAAATCGATTGTTCTTGAAGAGCAAAAACCAGAAAATCAATTGTTAATGTCCGTGTTAAAGAATAAATACGGTGTATGATTCAAGAAAATAGTTTCAGAATGAGAGAGGAAAAGGCAGATCAATGATAAAGGTCTCCTGCCTCGACTAAAGATTGTGGTCTTCACTGATGGAGAATGATCTAGGTTTATAATCGAAAGTGCTCTTCACTTAATCTCCTCTACAGATCCAACCAATTTTTGTACAATGATCACTAATTGTATATTCAACCACTTGAAGACACCACAAGCTGCCACTTAAATGCCCATGGAATAAGTTCTAACAGAAGTAACACTTGAAAATAAGTAGATTCGACCACTTGTAGACATCGACCCTTTTTTGGACCTTTTAATTATCAATATATTGAGACATTCAAATAAGTATTTGGTCCAATCTGATAAGAAAGAGGAGCAAAAAGTTGAATTAAAGTTTGATGAGTGAGCTACTACTGCAAAGCTAAAGCAAGTGGAAACCTAAAAAAACCCTTTAATGGCTGTTGCATTCAGAAAGAAACAGAGGGAGACAAGATGGGTTGGGGAAGAGGAAAGATGACAGTAAAGGGTAGAGAGAGAGAGAGAGAGAGAGAGAGAGAGAAAAAGACCCCTTTGCATTTTTTTCTTTTTTTTTAAATAAATGAAAACATCATAAATGGTCTGTATGGTCGTGAAATGTTGAAAATGTCATTCAGTTAACGGACAAAACTTAACGGAGTTAGCAATAAGGACTAATTCTCAAAAGTTTTGAAAACACATGGACCATCTATGAGTTTTTTAAACCACAAGGACTAAACTTCAGATTTGGAAAACCACAGGGACCATTTATGATGTTTTTTCATACGCAAAAATACATATAAATACATAATACTTAAAAAACACATAAAAACACACAAAAAATATATAAAATGCTTTAAAAAATACATATAAATACATAATACAATACGTCTATACATTGAAAATACATAAATATACAAAAACATCTATATAAAACACTTAAAAAAGACATAAATTTGTAATGCATAAAAAATATGTAAAATACTTAAAAATATATATCAAATCATAAAAAATATATTTATACATTTAAAATACATAAACATCTATATAAAAAGCTTTAAAAAATACATAAATACGTAAAAATACATAGAAATACATAATACATAAAAAATAACACATAAAAATACATAAAACCTATGTAAAATGGTTAAAAATACATATAAATAAGTAAAAAAAATACGTTTATACATTTAAAATACATAAAAATACGTAAATATATACATATGAAAACATAAAAAAATACACAAATACATAAAAATAGATATAGATATGTAAAAAAATATGTTTATACATTATATAAAAATTTTGATGAAATCTGCAAAAAAATCCCATTATTTTCGAAAAATTAACAATTTGGTCTCATGACCTGTTTAACAGGTCAAAAGGGGCTAAAGTGAACAAATTAGCCGGTTTCTTATGCTTTCTATTCAAAAGGTGAAAAAGTGAGGACTTCTTTATTCAAAAAATAAAATTTAGAACTTTATTAAAAAAATTTACCCATTATGTTGGGACTTTTATGAAGATATCCCTAAAAAGTAACACCTTCTAAAAGGTTTATTGTCATAATCGTCACTCTTATATAAAATTAGTCCCAAAAAAAGTACTTTCTAAAATTTGATGTGATAAAGTTTGTATTATAAAATTCGACTAAAGGGGTGTTTGGATTAAAATTTCAAAATAAATTTTAAAAGACACTAAGTTGTTGTTTGTTTTTTGTAAAAAAACTTCTTCAAATCTCTTATTGTTGCGTGGTAGCACACGCGCAAAACTTTTAAAATCGTAGTTATTTGTTTTTTAGAAGTCTTTAGAGTAAAAAACATCTATGTGTGTTCTGTGTCACAACTAGCAAATTAGGGTTAAGGTTTTGGTCCTTGGGCGAGACAATTCCTCCATGAAAACTTGTAATAAGCCATTTAGAGAGAACTCAACCTATGATGCCATTCAAATTCATACATTCCTACATTGTGATTCAAGTCGAAACTAGTTTGTATAAACCCAAAACTCGATCCAATAAGCCAAACTCAATCATTTTGGGCCTTAGCCCAAGAATTCTCAACCCAAAACCCTGATTGGACCAAGACTTTCTTATTGGGCCCTATTGGGCCGATAACTTCTCCTTTTGGCCTTGTTGGGCCGAAAACCCTTTTTAGGCTCTAGTGGGCCGAAAAACCTCTTTTGGGCTCTTATATAAAAAAAAGAGAGAGACAAAAGATGGGAATAATGAGCTTATGCCACCTCACCATTAACCCCCATACACCCATGCACATTACACATCAAATATCTAGGCAATTAAGTGTTAACTATCATGTAATGACCATGAAAATCCATCTCTCTCTCTCTCTCTCTCTCTCTCTCTCTCTTCCTCCTTAAATTCTCGGCCAAAGCACTCCCCATCTCTCCACAATTCATTTTAAATAATTACTCTCATTTCATTCTTCTCTCAAGATTCCCTTATCCTCTCAAGCATTTTCGAGTTCTTCATCATCAAAGGTTGATTATTAAGCTCTTTGGTAAGTCCATGATTAACTCCACTGTTTTGTTTCAAGTTTTTACAAAGATCTTTCCTCTTACAACTCTATTTTCGTGAATATGGAGCTTAGATCCACCACCATTTCAAGATCTCCCAAGGAACTCAAGTTAGCTTCAAAGTTTCATCTTCCTCTTCATCTACATTTTGGAAACCCCAAGGTAAGCTTCATACCCCCATATCGTTCTTAATTTTCATGTTTTCGGGG